ACATTTTTAAGAGTTCCGTTGAAAGTCATCGGATTTTTCGAAATAAAATACTATTCTCTGAAATATGAAGCAAATTATAGATCGTCTAAAGTTGGTCATGCTTATAACAAAATAAAGTTGAAATTTCACTCTGAATTTATCCAAACTTCATTCGCTCAGACACAACCTATTAAATTTTAGTCATGTTATTTATAACCACCAAATTGACAAGTATTAATTACAAAAAATTAACTTAATCCAGAAATATATTTAATCAAAGAGGATCAATTCAGTTCTGCTTCAAATATGTCTAAAATTTCTTTAAAGGCTTCCAGCACGGGACTGTCGTTTCAACGCACTAAGTAAGCATCCAATGCCGCTAGATTAAAACAAATTATTAATTACATAGAGTCACATTAACAGCATATTTTATATAATTTTAATTTTATTATCTTTTTCTCTTAATTATGCGTATACATTCACATTAATAGAATTTTATGTATAATTTTAAGATTATTATCTTTGTATCCTTTAAACTGTATAGATATTTTCTTTTCCATATATATAATTACTGTTATATAATTCGCATTAACTCTGTCAGCATCGAATGAATAATCTTTATATCTTTACATCTATATAGCCTGCCGACAGCTAGAAGGAAAAATAATTATTTATCGGATACAATTTTTCGAGAAAAATGGCCGAAGAAAGATTCGAGGTTGAAGCCGTTCGGGTTTTGCTGTTCTTGGGATCATTTCGACCCTCTCTCGCGATACGATCAACGAATGCCACCCTACAAGTCTTCACTAATGGCAATCACTTCCGTGCACGAATGTCCGGTGACTAAAATGCAAATGAAATTTTCCACGTCCCGACTTTCCCGGGAGAAGAAGAAGCCCGCAAAAATAAGGACGTCGAACGCAGGGGATCAGCAACGACGATCAAAGAATAGCAGATTAAATTATTCCGAGATCAGTAGAAACAATCGCTATATAAGGCACTTTTTAGAGGATGAAGTTGCAGTGGCAAAGGATATCTTCTGGGCAGAAAAGAAAAGAATTTACAAAGAGGCGACCAAGAAGGCGATAAAAATGGGAATGAAGAAACGTGAGCCTTCTTCATTAAGCCTCGAGAATAAAACTGTTGTCGAGTAGTAAAAAGATCTTTTTTTATTAAATGCATTTTGTATATATTATTTATTCATCTCGAATGTTATGTCGTCCAACAGCGAAAACACAAGATTAAAAATTGGATCCTTTAAATAAAAAAAATTATTTTTTCACTGTGTTGCTAATAAGATCGATATTTAAAAAAGCGACATAGGTGAAATATGATTATTTTATTTTGCATTTATTATTTTATATAATCATTTTATTACTGAGTGGAATAATATATCAAAGTCTGTGTTCGTTTATTCACATTGGGAGCTATTAAGAATAAACGAACGCATGCATTATCTTTCTTATGCGGCTGTTTGAGCATAGTGTTGATAACAGCAAAATTCAATCAACATAATCATCAACACGTCATTACGCGTTAAAGTGCGTAATGTCATTATGTTTGCGATAAAATCTTGCATCTTTTATATCTTATATTGTTACTTGTTTATACATATATCAGCATCAAAACATATTTACTTTGCATGTAAACTGTTCATATCTCTCTCAATTTTATTATGTGATCATTTGCATATGCATTTGCAAGGAAAGTTTATATGCAAATTGCAAACATTTTTATTCTACGTATGTACGGTTAAATGATAAATGTGAGGGAAGAACAATACGAAAGAAGAAAGTTTAAAGAATTATAGTTGTTTGAGAATAGAAGATAGTTGAAAAAAAGGAAAAATATAGTTTAAGAAGGATTTAATAGATGTTATTAACGTTTAATTTGTAATCGCATATCTTAAATTAATACATTAATATTTGTAATATTATTTTCTTTTTTTATAGGCGACAAATTATTCCCAAAGCTGAAGACAGGTCCACGATGGTACCAAGATTTTTCCCCGGATCAAGTATGATGTAAAAAATAAACGATCTCAAACTGCGATTCTATTTCGACAAATAAAAATTTAATAAAAATGTGATGGAAGATGACTCTTTCTAAGATAGCAAAATTACTTTCATTAAATGAAATATTGTCTCTTGATCTTGATTTTCAAGAGATCTCTAACTAAAATAAAATTGTAGTTACATGATGCTCTATTTATTTTAAAATTAAGTTGTATAAATTCGTAGATGAGGAATTTAATGACACTGGAAAATGTAATGCGCACTGATTACGAAGAGACAAAGGCAACTGGCACGCAAACGACACTGATAGCTATCGGCGTCATTTCAACGTTCTTCAAATTAAAGCCGAGCACTATAAAAGAGTTGCACAAAGCGTGCAACTTAAATAGCGTTGATTTTCTGCGAGAAATTTACCGAATCTTAACGGGAAGTGATTTCTGCGAGGAGGGATATAGTATATCTCATTATTTATTTTAGAATAAAACTAACATAATTAATAGAGCTATTTTTATAAGACTTTCTTTAACGAAATCATTTATGATAATTATATAAGAGAATTATTTAACTCACAGAAAAAGTTTACGATTGTAACGAGAGGATAATATTATCGGCCATTGCATTTTTAACGCTGCCAGAGACAGTGAACGAATTACATAGGAGATTGCCAGCAATAACTATGCCAAGATTGCCACCAAAACGTAATTTTACAACATTGAAAAACATTATTAAAATATTTAATTTACTATCTTTAGATATTTATATAATATCATAATTATTACACAATTACCGTTATTATCTAAAAATTATTTATTATTAAAAATAAATAGATATTATTCGCTTAGCTGTAATACATATTTTAGCAAAACTAATAACATGTCTGGCGAGGCGAAAAAGTAGCTGTCCTTATAAGGAAGAATTATTTACACGTCCTGATTGGGCCGGTTATCGAAATGCTTTGCGGAAATGGCGAAAACAATGTAAACTAACTGCAATTCCAAAAATAATCTTGCCATTAAACAAATATGGCCAGTTTTTTATTAATGATAGATCAGAGATTAAAAACCGGAAAAAAGATATTTCCACTGAGCATCTTGAAGAAATTAGTATGAACGAATTGCAAAAAGTTTCCTCAACTACGTACGATCAGAAAGGTAAAAATAGATGAATTAAATACAGAATATGTAGTAGACTTTTAAACATAGCGATTAGTTGGTGTATTTTAACAGCATAATAAGTAAATATAAATTGATTAAAGTATCAATTCTCTCGTAAATAAATGTAATAAATATTGTTCAACATATAAACTTCAAAGATTCCTCAAGAGAACAAAGTGTGGAAACGGTAAAATCAGCAACTTTTAACATTTTTCGATCGCCAGACGATGGCAAAAAATTTAGTTCTACGACTAGGAATCTTAGAGAAAAATCAGGAACCATGGAATATAAAATTTACGGTATAAATTATTGCAATTTTATTGCTTTTTTAAAATTGAAAATATAAAATTCATATAACAAAAGATATATTAATATCTATATAAGCATTAAAAATGAAACTTTAAATGTTCGATAAATTTTAGGCCCGCCGAAACCGCCAGGAGCGGGCCAAAAATCCTGGCTAGGAAAGAAGGACGCTCATTACATGATAGCTGGCGTATCCAAGGATTCACATGATTACCCTGTAACTTATGAAATCACGGGCGTGGCCAATGTGACACCAAGCAACAGCGACGAGAAATTCTTCGCAGTGCTAAAACTCGACCAATTTAAAAAGGTTTTGCCCAGTGGCAGAGAAAATCTGTCAATAAACTGGCAAGAATGGTTGCAAAATGCTGATGAAGACTATAGACAGTTGGAGGAAGAAGCTGATGAGTTAGTAAAAAATGTACAGACAACTATAAAATCGGCATTTCCTGGCCCCGTTTGCGATAGTTGCTGCTCATGTCGACAGACAAGAAAGTTTGATGAAAAATTGCAACAAAGCGAGAGTGACGAGACGTTGATTAATGCAGAGCAGAATGGAGAGAAAAATACGTGAGAGATTATTATAAAGGCTAGATTTAGATAGTGTTTTAGATTAAATAACTTAATTAAATAGATGTTTAAATTATAATGGTTATTATATAATTTGACGTTTACAACTAATTAAATAAATTATAACTCTATTAGCAATTTTCATATTAATTTTGAAATTTTTGAAAATATGAATGTTTACACCTTTGAATACTGATACCCTTCGATTCTAATTCTGGAGTTTTAGATTTTGAAATCTGTAAAACTTTGGTGACTTTTAAGATCTAATACTAATTTAAGATTTAATTTTTAATCTTATAATTCTCTCTTTCCAAAATTTAAAAAGTTAAACTCAAAAAGTAGAACTCAAAAAATTTAAGTTTTAAAAATAAAATGACATGAAATAAAATACAAGGACGTTTTTTGCGATAGACACTTCGCGGATTCGATGGCAATGCAATTCTCAGGGCAGAGTGCAACAGGATCACCAATTAACGAGGAAAATGAGATTAAAACAAACATCATTATCAGTGGCGTTACCAAAGAGGCTGGGCAAACTCAATACCATATATCGGGTATTCAGAAGGACAAAATACCACGAACGCTTGAATCTCCGATACCTCAACCCGTCAGGAACGTTCCACCTTGTTCGTGTGCTATTCAGCAAATGACTGATAAAGACATAAATCTGTCTGCGAGCAAGGACGACATTCCTTGGACGAAGGAAGAAGGATTGTGTCCCGGAAAAAAATACAGACCAGATGAGCTGGGTGCATATTCTTGCAAGACATATCCTGGAGATAAATTCTGCAGGTACAATCCTTTCATGAACGAAATATTAAAGATGGAGAAGAGAAAAATAGAAAAACAAGGAGAAGAAGAAGAAGAAATAAAAGAAAAGACTGCGTTTATTGAAGCAAAGGAAGAGACTCAAGTTTTAAGAAAGGATGTTACGGAGAGAAAGAAGGATAAATTCATTCCTGACCATGATTATCCTGCTTACGACGATCCTTGGAACATATCGCGAACTGCGCCCAAGGCAAAAATAACGAAAACAGACTATGAAACAACTTTGAAGTTGACACCTCCAGCATGGCCGACAACTTCTTTGCCATTAAAAACGCAAGAAAGACAAAATGACGTCTCTTCCTCGAAAGAACTACAGAAAATTAAAAATATTGCACAACATAAGGAAATTAATAAAAAAACTTATAAAATTTTTTCAAAATCATCAAAGAAAATAAAAAAA